TGTCCCTGGCAGAGTTTGGAAAGTTCCTTTTAAAAGTTACAATTGTTATGACAACAGGTGGAAGTTATCCATAACAGAACATTGATGGAATGATGCCTGTAGTTCCACTCAGGAATTAGGGTCCCTGATCCTAAATCAGGGCTGGACTAGGCCATATTGGCCAGAGAAATCATTTGAGTATTTATACTAGTGTAAATGCAGTGGCATTACTCACAATGAATAGCTGCTAATTAACAAATCACAGACTGAATTTCAACTTGGGCACCAGTTATATGACTGCATACAGCTGGGAAGTCAAATAAATGGCAACAATTCACTACTCTGAGTTATGCCATTGAATTTATCCTGAGTGCAAATATGCAATTGGATTCTAGCCATTGAGACTCTAAGCCTTGTAGCACTAACAAAAATGTGTATCATTCTAATGATTAAATATAAACTTTAAATTTATTTTGTTTTATAACAGCAACATACCGTAATAATCTCAGAACTGCAGAGATGGAAGGGACTCTGTGGATTGATTCCAGTCCCTGTCAAGAAGGCACAGTGGGGAATCGAACTTCCAACCTCTAGCTCTGTAGCCAAATGCCTAAACTACAAATTTATTTTTATACATCCTTTATATCTAAGTTCCTCAGATGTAGTTTACTTACCTTGTGTGTAAATCTAGCACTGTTCTTGGATCTGATGACCACAGGCTTCTTGTGATCTGAAAATCACGACTTTGCTACATTTGCTTTTTGCAGGCCTGTCTCGTTCACACATAAAACTGAGAGGGATGGGGTTAGGGTAGGAGTGTGAGGAAATGTGATTGGATTCACATCTTAATATGACCTTGCCTCATTTTCGAACCCTTGCTTGAACAGAATCTTTGTTATCTTGTGGAATTCGTTTTTTTTTGAAGTTTTCAGTGGAATTCTCCAGTCAAACAATACAAACAAAAATGTATACAGTGACCGAAGTGCATACAAAAACTGCTCAAGTTAAAAATGCATTACATTATAATTGCATAAAGGTAAATGTGTACATTAGGGTGGAAAGCAAACAGACACTTGTGCTTAGAAAAGGCGCACTAAATGTATACAAACTTTAAGCAGCCTTTAGAAACCATGCAGGGTGGACTATACTTAAGATAGGAAAACAAGAGATAGGTTCATCCATCCGTTGGTAAGGGGATTCTGGGAGTTGTAGTTGCACAGGAAGACTGGGAAAAGTGGGCAAGCTGTCTTTCAAGAAAGCTTGGCTGGCATGTCCAGTTTTTTTTTTTCCTGCCAATAGGTCCTAGTAGATATTTAAGGAACTCCAGAATTCCAGGCACGCTGTGTAGAGAAAGGAAGACGAGAAGACAGACAGACAGATAACAGTTCTAAAGGTGTGAAAACACCCTTGCTTTTAAGTTTTTTTTTTTTTTTTTTTTGAAGGCAGGCATTACAAATACGCTTGGAATTCTTGTGTCTCCCATTCTTAGTCCTTCTCTGCAGCCCGTCAGCCTTCCAACAGCTGCAGCTCTGGCGGGAGGAAGCCTTCCACAATAGTACCAAAATAGCTAATCCCTCCGTTTGTTGGAAGAGAACTATTCTGCCTCTCCCCCCCACAACCATGTTTTCAGCCACATTCATGAAACGTTTTTTCTCCAGCGATGCCACCACACGGCAGATCATCACAGAGAGTCCGGAGCCATTTGTCCCCGTGATGTCCCACTCCCGATCTGAATGTCTTCCCTCCCTTCCTCCGTGCCCACCCTCAAGATGCATCTCAGATTCATGCCTTTATCCCCCTCCGCTCCCCTCACAAAAACAGCCCACCCTTCAGCCAAGCAGTCCATCCAAGAGTCAGCTGCCAACAGGCACCACCTGCTAGACAGGGAGGCTCCGGCCTGCTCCATAGGCCTCCACCACCCTCCACAAAGAACTCCCCTCCCCACAAAAGCCCCCCCCACTCTCCCTTCAACACCCACCTCCCTTTTGCTTTATATCAACCACCTGTTTATTATGTTCTCAGCTATTTCCATCCCCAACAACAGGTGGGCCCTCGGCCCCCTGGGGCTCATGTCTACTAGGTTGCATAGGCATCTGGTTACACCACAAGAGGTTTGGAAGGGTGGGGTGGCAAGGAAAGAGAGCAAAGTTAAGAGCCTCACGGATCTATTCCCAGCTGTGGAAGGACATTAATATGTCTGGGATAGAACAAGGGCGGGCGAGGAGCCAGGACGCCTGGGATCTTGGGAAGGCACAGAGCCGACGACCTGATTCCCTCGCCAGCTCTGATGACAGCCCTTTTCCTACCCTGCTGACGGAGGATCACCGCCTGGCACTCAATAGTTACTCAACCAAAAGAAGGCCTGCCACATCAGTGTCTTTTCTACCGTCTGGAAACATTAGGTTTTGGACTACAACTCCCAGAATTCCACAGCCACCCAAGCTATTGTCGCCTCGAGAGCTAACGTCCCAAAACATGACTTTTCCAAGCTGTACATTTCAGACCGTGCCAGACTTTAAGGGTCCGCGGTAAGTGTGGTACTGTGGGAGTTGTCAACCAGAAAATAACCATTTCCAGGCTCTGCTTCATCTGCACTTTGAAGTGGGAGGGGACCCAAGATTCCACAATAAGGATATATTTACGGTCTGCAATTCTGAAATTAAGTTACGTTCCAAAATTCTGTTTAATTTCCCCAGTCTTGCAGGTTTGCATGAAGTTGCTTCCGAGGTGTTTTGTTTTGTTTTGTTCATCATCAGGAGGGGCAAGTGGGCACATAAGGGGCAGGTTTCCCTCCCGTGGCCTGCCAGACATGTTCTCACTCTTCTCTGGGTCAGGTTCCTTTGCATTCCCAGCCCATTCAAATGCACAGCCTCTGACCCAGTGAGTCCCATAATACAGAATACAGATAGGCCTTTCTGATTCCTAAGCTGACAGGTGCTGAGCCCCACTCCCTAGCATTCTCCTGAAGTTCTGCTTTCCAGTCCAGAATCTTCACCCTCTTCAGCCTTTTCCCCTTTTGTAGTGGGGCTGGGGTGGCAGAACTCTAAAGCTATGAAAAAAAAACAGGTTGTATTGTACGAGACTGTAGGACCAAGAGGGCCACACCTTTGAATCGTCCTTGCAAGGACACACAAACTGATTGCCAACAAAACACCCAGCAGAATGGGGAGTTTGCCAGGCTACAGAATTTCTCCTCAAAGGGCTAGATTTCACTTGCAGGGAATTTTGTGCATGTAATTGATTCTTGTCACACACAGGAACCTGCAGAAATGGTGCTGCAACTTGCAGCCTGAAGAGGAACCATATTTCCAGGTCCTTCCATGTTTTACCAGCTCATTGTCCTACACAGGATGGGTTGCAGAGTGGTGGGGAAATGCTCTGCACGTGGTCAGAGCCATTTCATTCTCTCTCTCTCTCTTTTATTATTATTATTTTTTACTTTTTACTATGCTTTGCATTTCCCAGACCTGGTTAGGCCTGGTACGTCTCCTGGTATGACTTGTGTGGGAGACATGAGTGATAGTGGCTGGAACTCACCTCCATCTAGAGAAACTCCAGATGACCTCTTGCTGCCCTCAGTAGAGGTAAAAAATGGATAGGGAAGGTCTTCTTCTCCTCCCCCCCCCACCCGCCATACACACTTCGCTTGCACTTGACTGTCTTGGCACAGCCAATTAAATGTGCCTTTGAACCCTTTGATCCTTCTCCTCACTTCCACTCCTCTCCCAAATACGTATAAGATCTAAAAGGGTCTCCTGTGTTTCTTTGCCTGCAGCTGAGGCTCACGCGTCCCTTTGAATCTTCAAAGCCCCGTGCATGCTTTAACTGATTACACATTTAGCATCTCTAATCTCTTTTTGGGGGGCCCCCACCCTGGAGGCAGCCTTGGGATGTGTCCCTCTTCTTTCAAGCTTGTCTTGTCACACTTGCTCTGATGTTCCTCCAGCTCCACATTTCAGGGTTTGTGGAGGGGGTGGGTGGGTTAGGGAAGGGAAGAGAGGAAGGGAAGCTGAAGGACTCCTATGAAGATGGAAGACACTTTCCTTCTTCAGCAAGTCTTCTGTAAAGCTGTGTTTGTTCTGTATCCTTTTCACCAATGCAGCACTCTTGAATTATAAATACTGTATAGCTTGTTGACTTATAAATCAAATAGTTGCCACAGTCAGTACACAAACTTGGAGCTTTTCTGAACTCCTGTCCAGAAAAATAATTTTTTCAAACTCCAATTTAACTCTTCCAGCTGTGAAAACTAATGTTGTAAGTCATTTTGAAAAAGTAGTTTACCTGCATCTATTAAGAACCAGAACTACTTTTGGATTTGAGAGCATGGCTTCTGACCCTCTAAAATCTGAGATTCTCAACCTATAGGATTGTTCCTAGCTGTGTGAAAGGATGGGATTTTAAAAAAAAGTCTACAAAACAACACTCAAACATATAAGAGCTTTGAAAAGTTGCTTTTGTGGACAATATACCCAAAATTCCTTCTCTGACATGGTTTTGGAGTACTATTTCCTGAATCCTTTATCAGTCAGAAGAGTGTTCCTGTCTCAGTACTGTATCAAGTTGTGTCAACCTCAACAACAGCTTTAAAGGGCCCACCAAGGATCTTTGTAGGCCGAGCTTCAAACAGTAGGCAATCGAATAAGAGTTACTGGTACAGTTTGGGTTGCCATTATGATCACCTTCCTTGTTCAGTCAATGATAGATCTGAACAAGAAATGAGAGGAAGTCATGCTGACTGGGGGAAATCCAGGAACCATATCCACAGAGCAGCCTTTTCCAGCTCTGAAGCAACCAATTCATTGTAGAGGTATGCATGTTCATGCTTTTGGACTGTAGATCTATAAATTCTGCCTGGCGAACTCGGGGAGTTGTAGTCCAAAACACAACCCTACGTGTCTCTAATTAGTAGTATCTTCTCTTTGAGATGGCAAAGGGGAAAACTGAAGTGTGCTCCCATAGGAAGAGCTAATTCTGATGGTCCCTTTCTTCCTCTTTCTCTGTTGCTCATCCCCATCCAGAGTTCTCTGAATGTTTTATGGTGAATGGGGCCGATTATCGGGGCACGCAGAACAGGACCTCACTCGGGAATTCGGGGCGTTCCTGCCTCTACTGGAACCAGACACGGGAACATGCCTACAACACAGCCAAGTACCCTAATGGCGAGTGGGGACTGGGCAGCCACAACTACTGCCGCAATCCGGACGGGGATGTGCAGCCCTGGTGCTACATTTCAGAGAACGAGGAAGGGATCTACTGGAAGTACTGTGACATCCCCACCTGCCATAGTGAGTTCTGGATACTGGGGCAAGCTCTGTCTGTGTGTTTGTGTGTGAACTCAGGGTGTGGCAACCTTAACAGATAATGCAGAAAATGCGCTGGGACAGGGACAGTCTGCATTATTTTCTATTAACTATATGACATAAACATCAATGTGAATCAGCTTGAATTCTCCCCCTCCCTCATCATTAGTTTTTCTGTCTGCTGCTGGGAGTTGAATGAATTTGCATTGGTTCAAGTGGTGTGATCTCTTGAGCTGATGCAACGGGTGATCAGAAGCTGGCTCTCCCTTCTTCCTGGTTTAAGGTGAGGAGAAGGGAAGCAAAAGGGCACTTCTGGAGGTACCACTTCCTTCTCTACTGAGCACTTCTTTGCCTATAAAAATTTTTAAGGCTTGGTGCTGGTGTTGGTGCACTAGACTTGCTGGAAACTAAAGGTGGTGGTGGTGGGAGTGAGTCAGGAGGAAATTGGCAGAGAGAAGGAAATTGGCAGTCAAATCTTATTTGCAGCTTGTTAAGACAGCTGTGGTTGCTGTGCCTCCTACAAATCATAATGGCTACAGTAGAGCCAAATTAACAAAGTGCTAACAAATTCAGGTTGGAAACTTCCTCTGTTCTCTCTGTTGACTCCTGTGTGATCTGCTAATACCAATTCACCCTGGGTTGCTTTGCATTCTTCCTGTTTTGTATATATACTCTCCAAAAAGTTGCTTTTTTGGGCATGGCAGCTCCCCAATCCCCACACCAGCATGGTGGCCATACTGGCAGGGTGATTTGTACATATTCTGTACTTATTAAAAAGACAAACAAACAAATAAATCAGGGCCTTGTTCAAGTGCCAAGGTTGTCAGTCAAGGAGACTTCTCTGGAACAGTTTGGCCCAAGCTATAGGAGGGCTGGATGAGAGCCAGACGTCTTGAGCCCCACCCTCTCGCATATATGCCAGATCACCTCCCTGCTCTGATTGATATTTTTAAAAATAAGCCTCTGGGAACTGTGTCATTGGTCTCTCTTGTTGTGTTCTGCAGTGCCCGGCTATGTTGGCTGCTTCCTGGATTCTGGGACACCCCCAACTTTGAGTGGAAGCAGTGGCACATCTACCAAGCTCACCGTGCAGGTTTGCCTCAGCTTCTGCCGCAAGCGGGGTTACAAGGTAAAGCACTCTGTCAGCTGTGAGCCTTTCAAGTACACATATATTTTTCCTTTCTTCTTCTTCTTCTTCTTCTTCTTCTTCTTCTTCTTCTTCTTCTTCTTCTTCTTCTTCTTCTTCTTCTTCTTCTTCTTCTTCTTCTTCTTCTTCTTCTTCTTCTTCTTCTTCTTCTAAACTGTAAAGAACCCCAAGTTTTTTTTAGACTACAAGTTCATCTCTTTCCTTCACTTCGTTTCTCATTTATTGTACCTTGAATGATCAGCTGTAACCATTTGTACTTTTCATTTCTCACATGACTGAAGTATTCTAGCTTTCTGCATTTTATGAGCTTCGTGATTTCTTGGTCTTTATTAATTCCTCCTAATACTACTACACCAATCACCTTCTCAGTCTGAGTAATTCTTATCATCTTGTGATAAATTCACACTTCAAATGCTTGTACCTGTTTTATACAACAGTCTGTGTTAAAGTTGACAATTCCATGCCATATGGTAGAACTGAGAATACATAGCATCCAACAATGCAAATTCTCAACGCCTGTTTTAAATTTTTGGTGTGTATTACATTCTTCATCTTAAGGAAATTACACCAGACCATCTCTATTCTTATTTCTATTGCATAATTAGATTTCCACTGTTAATTTAAGCAAATGCCAAGAGATTTGCATTTAATTTATTAGATACGCCTATATCCTGAGTTTTTCCTTAGTGCTCAAGGTAATGTATGGAGCTTCCCACCCCTTTTGTTCCCACAACCTCTCTGGGGTAGGTCAGGCTGAGAGACAGAAAACTACTAGTGAATTCTGTCAATGCTTGTTTATTGGAGAAGGGTGATTATAAATTTAATAAATAAATATTTACACTGAGGCATTTGGACTGCACTAAAATGGATGAGGACAGATGACATTGATTTGCATAACATAACATATGTTACTATATATGTACAGAAGCAAAATTAAAGGATTTTGCAGTTAAACAGAACTGCAGTGCATCTCACCCAGGTGGGTACTGTGACTTGGCTGCCTGCTAACTCTGCTGTCCAGGTGCTAATTATGGGTGCACAATATCAAGGTCTCTCTAATCACTTTCCTTTCTTTATCTTTTAAATCAAACTTGGTCCAGACAGACCTTGAAATGGAGAATGTCTTCAAAAGGACGACTGTTTTCTGGTAGCCCTTTAAGCAGAGGAGTGCCCTCCAACAAACGAGAAATGTGGCCACCCTACTAAGGACAGATACTGGTTTCCTGGGTACTTCCCCTCCCAAGGGAACTCTGGGGATTGTAGTTCTGTGAGGAAATGTAGTACCCACAATGCTTTGAAGGAAGCCACAAGTATTCCCTTAAAGGTTTGAGTTTTTTGTTTGCTTAAGGGGATTATATCTTGCCTTTCAACAAAGCCCTCAAGGCTCATATACAGTTGATGTCATATAAATACACGAAGAGAGGCCTTTGCCAGTCAGTCAATGACTCTGAACTCTGTTCAGCCCTGTTCCATCCCAAGCACCTCTCCTCCCATCAGTTGTAACTCAAGACATATGCTGCAAATCAATGGAAAGAAATTAGGTCCTGGAGTGAGGTCAACCAACCACCCTACGGAGACACAGCTGGTTGCTAAGAGAGCCATGGATTCCATCTTTCTTCACAAGGCTGCCAGGGTTATTCCAAGACACTTTGCTGCCTGTAGTGAGGGAAGAGATGGGGTGTTTCCTTACCCCTTCTGACAGCATTTGGCAAGCTTCCGTTTTGGCCTTCAAGACCTGGATTCCTACAGAGAGCACAGCCAGGAATAACATTTCTTGAGCTCAGCCCTTCCATTCAGAAGTGGAGTAGACTGCGCGTTGGGCCTTATTTCCACAGTCACATTGAGGCAGGACCTTCTGCTTCACCTCAGCCAGTTTAGGGGGTGCCAGGAGAGTTGTGAGTTGTGAGGCACACACAGGTTAGTGTACCAGCCTCTTGCTGCCACTTCACATCTCTCTCTTGAGTCTCTGTTCCCAAAGAAATGTAATGGCTCTGTAGACTTAGTTTACGTGTATCCCACAGTCTTCTTCTCTAGTCAAAAAGGCAGGGCCCATTTTCCCAGATAGCCTTGCTCCCCACCCTCTTCTGCATCTTCGACCAGCTGATGAGACTACGGAGCTTCCAGCTCTGCCATCCTCCCTCCCTTTCAAATCCATCCACCAGTTCCGACTGAGACGGGGCTCTGGTGTGGAAGCAGTAAATTTGTTCTTGTTCCAGGCGATCAGATTTTATGAGCATAACAAATGCACAGTTGTTACCCATTTGTTGCACTCAGTTCAGACGCTGGCCCTTGGCGTTAGGCTTCTGTTCCAGCAAATCTGCTTTGTTTTCTCATGACACATATTTTAAAAACATTTATATATTTTTTTGCATCTGGGAGAAAATGTTGCTCAGTTTGTCCCCCTACTGTGACTTCGATTTAGTCTTCCCCTCAGGAAGAATTAACCGTTTGATATAATGCTTATTGTATATTTACTCCCAGAAATGCTTGTGGGAATGTCAGCTTTGGGTGCCAAAAAAACTTGGCAAGTGATGGTGGGTGGGGAAATTGATAGTTTCACCTCTGGAAACAAAATGTTTCTGTTCACCCTTCTGACAATATAATTTCCTATATCTGTTTTCTGGACCAGAGGTTGCAGCTCTCAGAATCCTTGAAACAGCTTGGCAAGTGGCCCAGTGGGATTCTGGGACTTGTTAGTAATGGCTGAAATCCCATGGTGTTGTTACGCAAAAAAGTGTAAATTCCTGAGGCAAATTGCCCCAAGTTAAGAAATCTCCACAGAATTACCTGTTGCATGCTGAACTGCATGACTCAGTATGCAATAGATAATGGCCTAAATCCTGTTGCTTAGAGTAGTAAGCTGCATTTAGAGTAGGCCTGTTGGAGCTTATGGCAGAGTTGACTCATCATATCCCCATTGACTCTACTGCGGTTGACTATGCTAACCATCAGGATTTTGGCCAATGCCTATAGAGTTTGAGGCAATTTACCCCCAAAAGTTACTCCACTTGTGTTACAGTGCAACAGAATTTGGGCCAATGTCTCCAAGCTCTCACTTTCCAACAAGGGCATGGTCTAATCATCCTAGCCGTCATTCCATATGGGGCATCTTTCTGGAATAAGGTCCTTCCAGGTTCCGCCCTGTAACCCTCCCTCCTCATCTCGTTTATCCTCTATTCTAATTTTTCTTTCTTTTCTCTCTCAACTTTCTCCTTTTCTTCTCTAAGCCTCCTTCTCCACTCTTTTGCCTCAGTCTCTCTTCCTTCCAGGCTCCGCCCTGTAACTCTCCCTCCTCATCTCATTTATCCTCTATTCTAATCTTCTATTGTTTTGCAAAAAAAAAATTATGCCCCACTTCCTGAATTATGACGGTCTTGGGGGGGGGAAATCTCCCTTCTTCTCCACTAATCGGCCTCTTCTTTGGGCACTCTTAATCTCTCCCAAGCCCCGGTCCATGGGTCTTCCATCCATCCCCATCCCCAGCCTCCCGGTAATTGCTCTTCCTTCCTTTTTATCTCTGCTCTTCCGGGCTCAAACGCCACCCTCTTCTTCCGTTCTTTTCCCGCCGTTTCTCCCTGAGCCTTCTCAATGGTCAGTCTTTGCATCTCCCCCTCTAGCTCACCTGTTCCTGTCCCTTGCTGCTCTGTCTTTTTGGGGGTGCTGGGACAGTTTGAGTCTGTATCTCCTTCTCTTTGGTATGGAGGAGGGATGGCTCTCCGGCGAGTGGGATACCCCTCTCGCCTCCTGTCTCACACAGCTTCACCGTGTTGGTATCTAGCTTACAAAAAAAGAGCAACTTCTCATGCAGATTCACGGTTCACAGTTGATTCCCCAGAGATGGGTGATCGCACTGTCAGAATGCCTTGCACACTAGAGAAAGATAAAAAGAGGAATATCCAACCACGATCAATTTATTGAAATGTGATAATCATTTATTGGTTTCATAAGGATTCCCAAATCCTAAACCAGTTAAGAAGCTTTCTGGAGATACTTGACAAAATAAAAAGAGATAGTGAAACTGTGAACAAAATGAGCTTCTACTTAATTTTACAAGGCAGGTTTTAGTATGAAAAAAGGATAATTTGTTTAGTTTTAATCTCCATTGCAAGTTATGGGTATTGAGAAATTAAAAAAATTTTTAATGTGTACAGTAAATCCAGCAGGGTGGTTTTGTATGGGTCAGTGAGCACTAAGGCACTTGAGATAATTGACCAGATTATCTACAGATACAGGTAGTAAATTTGTATTTTTGGACTATATATCCCAGAATTCCTCATAGCTGCCTGGGGAATTCTGGGAAGTGTAGTCCAAAAACACAAATCCGCACACTTTAGCTGCAACTTTAAAAAAAGTCCTCCTTGAGATGATTCATCATTGCTTTTTTCAACTCTGAAAAGGGTACAGTAAATGTATTTTCCCATTATTAGACTACGTAAGGGGGCTCCTCTTTTTATTCTATTGTTTTGCAAAAAAAATTATGCCCCACTTCCTGAATTAATTCAGCCCCTATGTCAAATGATCAGGCATGTGTCTGCAAGTGTAATACTTTAAAGTTCTATGGGATTATTTGCTTACTATGGATGAATCTTGCAGCACAATTTCACAAAACCAATCTCTTCTTATTTGCCTTTATATAACAAACAACATGAGCAAATACGCTGCAATTTGTGCAACCAAGCCCTTCGCAACAGCACCAATACAGGAGTTGCTTGTGGAATTTGCAAAGTTCAAACGTCCCTTCGATTTCAAAGTCAGACAAAAATCCAGGATATCTTCCTCAACGGGGTACCCATAACACAGGAGAATCTTCAAAATCCTAAAATGAAATATGAATCCAATTGTATGCAATTCATTAATTTGGCCTCTTTAGTTCTCCTGCTTTTTCTGAATCAAACATCAGTTATTCACAGCCCGGCTCTTTCTTAGTCCCACCCCCTTAGGCCGGACCAATATTTCATAGAGGTTACACAAGCACTGACTGACCAGAACCTGTGAAGAGATGAGTGACCTAGCTCTTGTACATTCAGGTCATTATGCAGGGCTATTTTTCACATTTGAGTGCCAGTCTGATCCTCAAGTGTTTATTATACATATAACAATGTATAAACTCATCTTCACTCCAAAGGCTCAACAGAAATGCTTGCCCCAATTCAAAGGAAGTTTTCAATTCCAACAAATCCCACTGTTTTCAAAACAATGCAGTTATAATTTTTTTCCAGACAGCTGAAGATAGTTTTAAAGAGACACATCTGCTGTTCCTTCTGTATTTGGCCTTGGCTAAATAGATCTGTCCACAGCCTCATGTCCTGTAAATTAACTGCAAACTGGCTATTTATTGTTGTCATTGCATGGTTCACAGCCTTAGCTCTGCAAATAACTCTCTCAGCCAAGCTATAAAGAGAGATCCATCTAGTACCGAAACACATATTTATGTCCCTGTCTTCTTCCTCTGAAGTTTGCTGGAGTAGAAGCTGGTTACGCTTGTTTCTGTGGCCATGAAGCAGATGTCCAGCGTAGTCAGCCAGTGAGTGCAGTGGAATGTGACCAAGTCTGCTTTGGCAAGTCCAGTGAGCTATGTGGAGGGGATGGCCGGATTGGAATATACAATGGTAAGCATGAGCACATAGACACATTTTCTTAGAATTCAATTTTAAATATAATATTGACAAACAGATACTGTATTTGCAAATGGATGTGATGTGAAATATATATTCAGTTATTTAAAATGACTCTGGATGTGAATGTAGGACATTGCTTCTGGGTCCATGATGCAAAATATCAATAATTTTCTGGACATTGTGTTGCAATGTTGTGCTTGTGCTGCCAGCAGGAAAAAGGATGCTAAGCTTTACAGAGGAAAGGTCAGCCTGAATGTCTATGACACCAATGTAAGCTGTCAAAATGAGCCACAGGGTCCCCTTTTGTCTCACTACCATTCACAGACTATAAGCAAGGGAAATTTTCTTAATATGACTCTCCTTTCAGTCCATTAATCACTTCTCACCCAAAAACAAAACAATTGTCATGGCTGTGTTTTATATGTGCAGTTTGCATTCACAGTGGTAGAAGTATCTTCTGTTTCTCACAATATACTAACACTTGGAAGGTGTCTGCCAATGAAATCAGTAGAAACAAAGTTTGGGATTAACTTCAAGGTATTTATACAGAGACAAAATACAGGATATGAACATATTCAGAGTTCACCAGAGGGAAATAAAATGACAGATACACTAGGTGGCAGTTCTGAGCTATATTACAACACAGGGTTTTGAAAAACAGATAATTAAAAGTACCTTTCTATATTACGTAACTGCAGTTGCAATTCTATACACCAGGAATGGGCAAAGTGTAGCTTATGAGCCACTTGCAGCCCTCACACATCCCAGTGTGGTGTTGAGGCCCCCTCGACCCCAGCACTTAAAAAACAATAATTCTGGTTTGAAAATCACCTGTCACTTAGAACTCTTTGGAGAGCAAATAATTGGTCATTTAAGTGCAACAGGGATGGTTAGCCCCTTTTAAAACATGAAGTAATTGTTTTTACAAGCTGGAAGCCACCGGAGGTATCTAACCTTTTCCTATTACTTAAAAAAAAAGGCTATTTCTGTTCCAAAAAGGGCCCAGTGGAGCCCCAAATTGCCTGTTAAATGGCCAACTGGGTATGGGTGGGGCTGCCAAGGTCCAGTGGATGATGAAAATGGCTCCAGATCTGATGAAGTTGCCTTCTCTTGCTAGAAACAGGATGTTCCATGTAATTTAGTAGGACATCTGAGGAGACCTGCTGCATTGTATAATTGGGCAGCATCACATTTTGCTACAGCAGAGGATGCTAAACACAAGAAGTGTCTAGGGAGAGAACCCTGGTTAACAACAAGAACACACTGTGAAAAGGGCTTTGCATTTTTTCTTTTCTTTTCTTTTCTTTCTTTCTTTTTTTTTCTTTTTTTTTTCTTTTTTTTGGTTTAGAAAAGGAAAAATTTCCCAGGCCGCTACCAGAGTGAATATCATTTTGCTCTGATCTTTCCAATTTCGTGTTCTCAACATCTGGATTGCATTTATTTGTTTGTTTGTTTGCTTTTAACCAACATTGGCTTTCAATAAATTTTTTTCTGTCATTTTCCTGCATTTTTTTCAGATGTTCTTGGACAATTCCACACCCCCACTCAGTTTTGACTCAGGGAGGTGTCAAATCATAACATGTTAGCTTAACAGTTTCATTTTCCAACCTTCCGGCCTTATTTTTCCCCAAACAACTGAAACAACAAAACTACAGTAATAAGACTTTGCATTATTTATACAATTGTTTTGATGTTCTACACACCATCCCATGACAACATAGGATGGTAAAGCTGGAAATACAACAGAAGTCAGGCTGTAGGCTCAAAAAGCAACATTTCCTACATCTCCCCATGAGGTGTAATAGAGGCAAATTTTAAGGAGATAAGGCCCAGTCCTAAACCAGTTCACATTCAGAGGCTGATTGAACTAGATGAATTTTGTTTTGATACTGGCAACACCAAAACATTCCCTTGAGGTCTGCAAGCTAGCTTAGGAGTCACAAGACAGGCTGTGTGGGTCATATAATAATATGCTCCAATGCCACTTTGTCCAGCATTTGCTGCCTAAGGCATCTCTCTCACTCTGCCTGAGGATGGGGCCAGCTTTGGCCGTTTGTGCATCGTTCCTCTGGATGTAACAGAAAACTAGGTCACGAAGACTTCCAGTTAGGCTTTTCTCCTGGTGAGCTACATTTAGGTACTTGCAGTATAGATCTGTCAGATGGAACTCTCATAATGGAGAATTCCGGGGAGTCAAAAAAATCTGAATGGCACATCCCTAGCTGGTGTGATTTTTTGTGGTGGCAGTACAAGCAGAGTCCACCAGTTCTGCAATGAAAAGGGTGCCACAGAGATTGTAAATCAGAGTCAGTCCATTGTCCATTTTAACTCTAAAGCAGAGCATGGAAAAGATACTTTGGGGAACTACAGTGGTGCCTCGCTAGACAGTCACCCCACATGACAGTTTTTCACTAGACATTGGCTTTTTGCGATCGCTATAGCGATTCGCAAAACAGTGATTCCTATGGAGGAATTTCGCTGGACAATGTTTGGTCCCTGCTTTGCAAACCGATTTTCACTAGACAATGATTTTGACAGCTCCCTCCGTGCTTACAAAACTGGTGTTTTCGGGACCTAAGCTTCGCAAGACAGAGATTTAAACAGCTGTTCGGCAGTTCGCAAAGTGGCTTTCCTATGGCCGATCTTCGCTAGACAACGATGATTCTTCCCCATTGGAACGCATTAAACAGGTTTCAATGCATTCCAATAGGGAAATGCTTTTTGCTAGACAATGATTTCGCTAAACAGCGATTTCAGTGGAACGGATTATCATCGTCTAGTGAGGCACCATTGTATAGTATCTATGCAGCATGGGAACCATTTTTTTTCAAAACAAAAGTGCCCTTTTTCAAGCATCATGTCTATAGTGTTGCATTTGTTAGGACTGCTACCTGATGGAAGGATTTTAATTCAATTTATGCACCAATGACAAATAATTATAAAATAAAAGTCTCCGAGTTTTAACAGAACTCCATTTCCTTCAGAGTTGTCAGAGAAGTAGATGTGCTAGTTTCAGCAAAAAGTAGCCACATTTGTGTTTTCACAAAAGTAAACATGAAACAAAAATAATTTTTTAAAAAGGACTGTGGCACTTTTAAGACTAGCAAATTTATTTCAGTGCGAATTCTTGGGGATCACAACCTGCTTCTTCAGACACTGCTTTGTTTATAGATGATGCACGCACACATTGCCTGATTAAATTGGGGCACTCATAGGTAATGATGCTTTAATCAACAAGTCTGATGGATTAAGTATTGGCGGTAATGTACAGTATTGCGGCCTTATCCTGCTGCTCCCCTAATGCCATCCTCTTTGCCTTATAGTCTCCATGGGGGCCTGTCAGGGGAACTTCAGTGAGCTCTCTGGAGTGATCTACTCTCCACAGTTCCCCGATGACTACGAGGCCAACAGCAACTGCACTTGGGCTCTGCGACCCCTGGGCTGCGATTCTGTGGAGCTCACCTTCCGAATCTTTGATGTCCATGACCCCAACGACCGCCTGGAGCTGCGGGATGGGCACAGCAACCTGTTGCTGGCCCAGTTTGATGGGCGCTGGCAGCCAGGGACCTCCCTGCTCTTTCCCACTGACTACCTGCTCCTCTCTTTCCAGTCAGACCAGCTCCTGCAAGCCCAGGGTTTTGCCATCTTGTACAGAGGTAGGTAGGCACTCAAGCCTAACACCCTTCGATGCCCCAGTATAGCCTGCCTGTGCAAAATAAAGCTGGCGAGCTAAATCTGTTCCACATGTATGGACTAACGTTGCTGTGGCTTTTCAAGGGTGACAGCTCTCCTGGCCGGTCTTAATCTGGTTTTGCTTCTGGAATCAGCCTTGAGGGAATCAGCAACAACATGGATGAGGCCACTGGAAAGACTCTAGGAACTACAATCCAAGAAAAGAGGAACTTTCCCAAATCACATCTTCTTGCACACATTCTGTCATTCTGTCATAATCCAAGCCCTACATTCCTTCCTGCAACGTTCTCAGTGGGGTGTGTAGTAGCCCCTATTTGCACTACAGGATCTAGGACAGCTTGTGATTGCAATCTTTTGGCAAAGCCCAGCACGTTGCATGGTTTATTTGTTCGCGCTCCATACAAAAAGGAACAAAAAAGGATTTGTTTTCTGTAGAGCAGTGGTTTCCAGCCTTGGATAACCCAGTTGTTCTTGGACTGCAACTCCCAGAAACCCTGGCCAGCACATCTGGTGGTGAAGGCTTCTGGGAGTTTTAGTCCAAGGACTCCTGGGTTACTCACTGGGAACCACTGCTCTAGAGGCATTGTGGGAGCTGCATTCTGGAAAAGAACTGTCCTAAGCCCTGGCCAAAATAACAAGGGCAGAGCATCCTGGGCCACGAGGGAGCGTGGGGTGTGTGTATGAATGCAGTGAGAGCAGGACTGTCTTTGAACTCCTGGACTCAGCCCAGCCCTTGCCAATTGTTCCCTGGGGCTCCGAGTGTTGGCCTCTCTAATTATAAGCTCTCAGTTCCACACCTGCAAAGGGAAGCAGATGAAGGACGCCTGTCCCTTTGAACTGGGCGGTGGGAACAGGAGGAGTGTTATTTCAAGAGCCCTTGGGAAGCCCTTCAAGTGTGTCACCCACACTGACTTGCTCTCCCCCTTGGCTACTACAGCACCTTTGAAATAACAGCATTCACAACCCAGGCGGGTTAATTAGGGGACAAGTTTTCTCCTGACATCCCTTTGAATCACACACACACACACACACACACCAAGTTTTCTCCTGACATCCCTTTGAATCCTTGTGCGGCCTCAGGCAAAAATATGTGCAGTGCTAAAGGCACATGGGAAAAAAACTTGGGGGTGAGAAAAGACAGAACGCAGGCAGAAGAACCAAGTATGAATGGTGCAAGACTACATTCTTGTATGATATTAGTAAATATTAGTGACATCTCTTTCTTCAAACTTTGTTGTTCCAGTGCCTCGGTAATGGTTAGCTAGAAAGCTGGCTTTATGGAATCATGAAGAAGCTCAGTACCACTGCTTGGGTCCTTCTCGTTATACTGACACACTCTCTCTCTCTCTCTCACACACACACACACACTCAGAGAGAGACAGAGTACAAAGGTGTGGTTTTGTTGTTTTGTTTTGTTTTGAGTGAACACCAAGAACACAATTATGTTTTGGGTGACAGCTCCCAAAACCAGAGTACAAAGGTGTGGTTTTGTTTTGTTTTGTTTTGTTTTGAGTGAACACCAAGAACACAATTATGTTTTGGGTGACAGCTCCCAAAACGCTGCAGCTAGCACAGCCATTGGTCTCACTCTCTGGAGGCTCTTTTTTGTAATACCCCCCCCTCCAAAAAAAAGCTCTGACAAAGAAAATTGAGCTGACCATTCAGCAAAAAAGACCTGAAAGGGGTGGCCTGTAGCCTGAACTGCAGGAGTGCTTCACCCCAACGGACTGGGCTGAGGTAGGCTCCCTAGTGTTCAGATCCCTCCTCCTGAACCTTTCGGAAAGCTATGAGGGAGAAGAAATGGAATGTGGTAAAACCAAACGTATCTTTCCGTACCCATATAGGTGTATGGAACCTACAGCTAGCCTATGCATATCTCCATGAGTTTCGTGCCTTCGCAGAAATTTGACCCGAGGTCTCCCTGAGATTAACAGGACACAGAGATCATTACTCTGCACTATTCCTACCCCTAAGTAAAAGGAAAGTTGCTGGATCTAGAAAGTCACAATCTTTGTAGATTAGGCCAGTTAAGTGTTTCTAAAGTAAGGTTAGCAGTAGTATTCTATGTGAGCACTGCAGAAACTAACAAAAAAGGTCTTAATCTGAATTTGGGGTTCATCGGGTTTAATCCCAGAATCTACACTAAAGATCAAACTAAATGTTTCCTCTCACAATTAGATTTTCTCAGAGATACTTGCCTCAGGTTTGAAAATAACGCCACTGTTTACACTCCAATGAACAATCATAAAACAAAGCTTCTAAATGCAAGATACAGAGGTGAGGAAAATCATATGCTCTGACACACACACACATATCTTTTATGACTTGAGAGAGCACATCTTCTAAAAACCTGCAAGCCATGTCCTCTGGTATGACCTTGAGGCACATTTATTGTTGCTTTTCTGAAACATGATCATATCCGGGGTTTAGCTCTAAATTCTGGCAAGTATGGGAGAAAGGGAGAAGGAATCTAGACCGGGCTTTCCTTTTAAAAAAAGTTGCACATTATAAAAACAGGACATATGGATGTTTTATAGCCTGGGATTGGCTATCTGAAATCACCTAGTTTCCAAGACCAGGAATATTCTGGGCTGTAGTCCAAGACTCAAGATTCAAACTGTATTTCCTCCCTCTAACAAGTGTAATGAGTCAGTGTTTTTCCTTCAGGGCTCCGGTTTCAAATTCCACCACACTCTTGACAGTTAAGGAGTTTGCCTGTGAAGCCTAAGGGAGCGGTACAGCATGTATCCCCCACATGGACCTTTAGGGTGATCATCTGCAATTTGTTGTGGGTCGGTTGTGTCTTAGAGGAGAAGTGGAAAGCACGTGCTCATGTTATATTTTCCTATTTGTGGTTTTGCTGATGAATAATAATTCTCACTATGTAAACAGTGCATTCAAGTACAGTAACTTTTTTGTCATACCATAGAGGTATGATGTAGCTGTTTTTTCATGTCTAAAAATAAGGGCAACAAATGAGTTCTCACCATGTAAAGAGTGCATTCAAGTACAGTAACTTTTTTGCCATACCATCAGGGTATGATGATGTAGCTGTTTCTTCATGTCTAAAAATAAGGGCAACAAATGAAGCCTGAGGCTTTGGCAGTAAGGCTGGGTTGCAATTTTATAGTTAAAAGCAAATCAGCAATTCTCATTTCTCTACAGGAGTGAAGGGTTCCTCGGTCAACCTGCGCACCCTGCCAGGTGATGGATCTCGACTTGTCCCGACCTCCTCGGATTGGCTGAACTCCACCTGGACCTACAGTGCCAGTGATTCTGCCATTGGAGTAGGAGGTAAAGAAAAAGATATTCTGTGGCCGTATCCCTTCAAACCCCTATCTATCTATCTATCTATCTATCTTGTATCCCTTCAAACCCCTATTTGTGCTAACCCTGCCAGCTAGCTCAGGGGAAAACAGACTCTTCATTTCTCTCCAAGCCAAGGAACCAGTGGCAATGGCTCCACATCAGGTGAAAACAAAAGAAAGATAAAAAATGAAGACAGCAAGAACACCATGGCACCTTAAAGGCTAACTGCTATAATTTAATGTGAGCTTTCATGGACAAGTTCGCTTCCTCAGACAAAAGAGCAGCCACATTAAAATATAGCAGTCTTCAAAGTAAAGAGTGGCCACATTAAAATATAGCAGTCTTCAAAGTGCCACAACATTCTTCCCTTCTTTGTTTTTGCTTTTTCATTTTGCCTGATATGCTGGCACAGACTAACACAGCGACCTCTTCCAAAATGCCTCTGCATTTTTTTGTGAATTTACTTGCGAATTCCAATACAGATGGAACTGAACAAATATGAACCCTGCCAGCTAGCTCAGGGAAAACCAGACTCTTCATTTGTCTCCAAGCCAAGGAACCAGTAGCAATGGCTTCACATCAGGTGAAAACAAAAGAAAGATAAAAAATGAAGACAGCAAAAACACCATGGCACCTTAGAGGCTAACTGCTATAATTTAATGTGAGCTTTCATGGACAAGTTCGCTTCCTCAGACAAAAGAGCAGCCACATTAAAATATAGCAGTCTTCAAAGTGCCACAACATTTTTCCCTTCTTTATTTTTGCTTTTTCATTTTGCCTGATATGCTGGCACAGACTAACACAGCGACCTCTTCCAAAATGCCTCTGCATTTTTTTGTGAATTTACTTGCGAATTCCAATACAGATGGAACTGAACAAATATGCTAATTTGAACTTTCTTATCTCCATGTTTCCTAATGTTTCATGGCAGTTCTTGGCTCAAGAAGCTGTTATCAAAATTCTTTTTCAAATGCATACTTTGAGGTAAAATGTGTTTAAGAGTGTGGATTCTGAGTGAAAGCACATTTTGAAATCACAACTTGGGAAATCTCCTTCATGAATTACTATTGGGAAAAAAATCCTCCATGGAAAAAAACACATGCTGGCCAATCTAGAGAGGTGGATTAGTCCAAATATGTATCTTCTCCTAACTTCATTTTAAAAATTCATTGGCACAGTTAGAAATATTAACTGATTTATGTGAAAGTGGAACAGAGTGGGTTGTGTTTATTTATTTAGTTGTATCGATGAGGGGACCCTCGGCGGTTCACAATATTAAAACATGTAAAATTAAAAACACAATAAATTACACATTAAAAAGCAGTTAAACTATGCTAATGATTAAAACTAGATTAAGTGATTAAAAACATTTAAAGCTTTAAAAGCCAAGTTACTTAATTAAAAACCAGCATCCAGTGGCTCAGTTATAGTTTTAATGGCTTAACTGTTTGAAAGTTTTACATTTTTCCTGTTCAAATTTGATTTTAAATTGTTTCAAACATTGCATGTTTTAAAATGGCTTTTATACAGCTTTGTAAACTGGCCTGAGATCCTATGATATAGGGTGGACGATTAATGTTTAAATAAACAAATAAATAAAAAGCCTGCCTGAAGCAGTAGGTCTTCAGATGTTGGCTAAATGATAAAAGGAAGAGGTCTAACCTAAGCTCCTGAAGGAGAGCATTCCATAATCTGGGAGCAGCAGCAGAGAAGGATTCATGTGCGAATGTGCACGAAAGCAATATGAACGGAAATGCCATGATTTTCCCATCTTTAATACTGTATGCCAATTCCACCAGGAGTTGCCACCATGCAATCCTGCTACTGGCCACCAGGGGCCACTAAGCTTTCCAATGTGATGTTCTTTGTAAGACAGCTCATTGGCTAAAAAGACATGAGGGAACCTTAATATACTTTTTATTCTGGGCATGCCTTTGCAAACCCTGCACTAAAAATAGAAAGACAGACAGAAAAAAGGAAGAGAAAAATCCAAACTCTGCATCAAGGAGAGTAGAATTCTGTACAAATTAGGCAAGTTTGTTGTTATTTGCTTATTTTGCACACTACCCCCCCCACTAGCCAGGTGGAATAGGAGACAGCTGGGCAGAGTACTGGGAGCCCACAACCCTGTTTACCCTCTTTCAGGAAGCTAGCTCAGCTCACCTGGCTTGTGCAGTTTTCTTAGGCTTTGCCTAGAGGTACAGTAGTTTCAGACCTGTGTAGGGAGTCACTTGAACCAGGATCATTTTCTGTTTTTAAAAAAGTCAAATGTCTCAGATTGCAGAATTTTGCAGTCAAGGACGTATGGATGTACACAGCCATGTTAAGTGGCTTATTTTTCTAAAGAAGCCTAGATTTCTCCTATACAAAGCTCTGCATGTATACAGGCTGAGAGGAAAATCTACAGGTGTATCTATCTTCCACTGCAGAACATCTTCTTCTCCATCTGGATGCTGGGAGTACCTAATAAATCTGGTGCCACCTATACGCAAGGATTTTCTATTTATAAAGTGACTACTAGTTGCTTTTAAGCCATTCCCTTGAGCCAAACTAGAGAAAGCTTTAAGCTACCTAATCAAATCTGATGTCTCTCTTTAAAACTCAAACTTGCTGGTGCAAACTGTCCCCTCCCGAAGAAATTTTATTTTGCACCATTAGTGAAAATTGAGAAGCATCTGTATAACTCATTAATGGGGTAAACAGCAGCTTCAAGGGGGATTCATCTGGAGACATGATGTGGGGGAGGAAGCACCCCCAGGTTAACATTCCCAGTCTTAATTTATCATATTGACTGAGTGGCACCCCTGTTTTAAAAAGAATTTCTGCAAAACCTTGAATTAGATGGGAAATCTGATCTAAGATCTCTGGCCTTAGTTTGGCCCAGCAGATTGGAAATAGGTGTTTCATTGATTTTTTGAAAGTTTTGTGAGACAGCAAATACAGTAAAATGTTACATAGAACACAAGTCGGTTCTGGACAGCATATTCCAAAGAAAACACATAGAAATGTAAGCTAAGTGTTGGATATATCTATTGCTTTTGCAGTGTTTGGAAAGAGGACAAGAGAGAGAGGTTCCTTAAAGTGGGCCTCTGGGTTTTACCATGTCTTGATGGGGAGACTGATAGAAAGGCAGACTCTGTTAAATTACTGCACAGATCCAGCTCTATAGCCCCTCTGCAGAAGCAAAAGCATCATGCTTATGTACCGCCCAATAGCACTCAAAGCACTCTCTGGGCAGTTTACAATTCAATTCTGCAGGCTACATCTTGCCTCCCCCCCCCCAGCTGGGAAATCAGTTTACTGATCTTGGAAGTATGAAAGGCTGAATGAACCTTGAGCCGGCTACCTGGGATTGACAACCTCATTGTCATGAGCAGAGTTTTGGCTGAAGTGATGGTTTAATCACTCCACCATGAAACTGCAGCTATTCTGACCATCCCTAACATCAATGACTTAAAACTTAGAACAGTTATTATTATTATTATTTTTATTATAGCTCCCAGAATTCTCTTGCCCACATGACTAGTAGCTATAGTGCCTAGGAGATTCTGGGAATTAGAGCCCTAAAATTTACTTTTCTGGGCTCTGATCCAAACTGTCTCCTTATTCCAGTGGTTCCCAACCTTGGGTCCCCAGATGTTCTTGGACTAGAGCGCCCAGAAATCCTGGCCAGCACAGCTAGTGGTGAAGGCTTCTGGGAGATTCAGTTCAAGAACACCTGGGGACCCAAGGTTGGGAACCACGGTCTTGTTCAGAATTTCCAGTGTTCTAGAATGAAGGCTTCTATCATCCCATGGTGGGGATGGTGGAGGTTGCAGCCCATTTCATCCAGACTGTGCTGGGTTGAAGAGGATGGTATAGAGGTCTTAGCACTGATGACTAATCCAGCCTTTGTTGTAGCGTGTTTTGTTTAGAGAATTTTAATGTCATATTATGTAAATGGGGTCTTCTTATCTTTTGTAATACAGCTTGGGTGATGTACACGGCCACAGGGACCTTCATTCTAGCCATTGTCATCATCTCATACCATCTGCGCAAGAGGTAAGCTGTGGGGTCAGGAACCAGCCAATGGGGTTGAGACACAATATGTGTGTCTTGCTCCTATTAGAAGTGTGCAGGGATGGGAACTGCTGGATAGCTCAGTGGTTTAGGCATCAGGTGGCAGAGCCCGGGGATTCAGAGTTTGATTCCCAACAGTGCCTTCTTGACAGGGGCTGGACTCAATGAATTATAATTCCCCTTCCTTTTCTGCAGTTCTAAGATGATTGTGATGGAGATGATCCAATCAACTGTGTGTGTGTGTCACATTTGGGACAAGTTACTCCTAACTGATGTAGCCAGGCAGCTGTAGTAAGAAAGAAAGAAAGAAAGAAAGAAAGAAAGAAAGAAAGAAAGAAAGAAAGAAAGAAAGAAAGAAAGAAAGAAAGAAAGAAAGAAAGAAAGAAAGAAAGAAAGAAAGAAAGAAAGAAAGATTTCTAAGTTTTGGAATGTGTGTGTAGGAGAAGAGGGCATGTGGGGTGTCATGAGCAAGGAGCTGCTTAGGACAAAAAGAAGTTTTTTTGAGGCAGGGGGTACAGTGAGCAAATTTTGTACACCAGGCAGCACAAAGAAGAGAAATGTAATGGTGGTATGTGAAGCAATCTAGATGAGATGTTATCCAAGAATCATATGGAAGGTCTGCACTTCTTCGAGGAAAAACTGGGATTGGGCAGAATAAAGGGATTATGAACAACCCAATGGAGTCAGTAGTAGTGATTGTAGCAATAGAAGAAGGGGGGAAAGTATCTCCCTGCCATTCAACACAAAATGAAAGTTGGGGGCACAGGCTGATTATTATGGACAGTCAACAACTCTATGTATGTGGAAGAGAAAAATGTCTACCTCCTCATGGTATCTTGAGAGTTGCAGAAGCACAAATATATGTCTTTGTTAAAAAATGAGACAAACCCATAAAAGAAGGGAAACCCGCCCCTCAAAACAGAACCCTCCTCCTGACTATGTTCACTTCCTAGGCTCAGTCAAGAAGAAAAGGAGAGGAAAATGGCAGAGAAGCTTAAAAATGAAGGGCCTACAGTTAGGTAGAATGAGGCTCTTCCTCCTGACCTCCCAGGCTATTCCTCTCATTTGTTTATGCCACACATTTTTTCTTACTGAAAGTCCCAAGTGAGATTTCAACTTATGGTTGAACCTGTTTCTACACCTGGGATGTGGGGCAGGCACCATTTTGTCCTTTGCCTCAGGCAGCAATCTCTCTCTTAAGCCTGTATCAGGGTGATCTTCTCTGCTGGGAAAGGGAGAACTTTGAAGGTGTGGATTGAATTCACAGACAGCCCACAGAAACTATGCCCTCAAATACTCCAAGCCCAGAAACAGCCAATGGGGAACAATCTTGAAGTAAAAAAATGCTTCCCCCACAAAAGCAACACTATGTTGCAGGGACCCTCACTTGTTATAAAATGAATGGCTCTGTTGTCAAGCCAGGGGCAAGCGATATGCATCTGAGATGTTGTTGTTGGTGGCATGCTTTCTCCATTCACCCAGTCATCTGGTGTGCTTTGTTCCCCTTCTCAGGACCTGCCTTTTTGTGCAAAAGAAGAATGGCAATTCTTTGGTCCCCTTTTCATCCAAAGGGCCACGGAGTCGCTGCCAATGCCTCGGGGGTGAAGCGTGGGCCGTGGCTTACCGACACACCCGTGTGGTGATCTGCACCACGCGTGGTGCCCCACACCACCGCCCACTACACAACAGCAGTGGGGTGGGCAGTGATGACGAGACCTCCTCAGACTGCTTGTGCTTGTGCCATAGTTATGAAAATCTTTCTTCCACCAACCAATCCTCTCTTAAATCTCTCATCTCCACCATCTGAGGCAACCCGGATCCCTTCTCAAGTCCATCAGATCCATGAATCCAGCTCCTTCTTCTGTTGCCAACCTCCTCTAATGGAACTTCTTCAAGTCATGAAGGACTAAGAGACTGGGACCTTATAAACAGATCCAGTCAGGCTGGGAGGCAGAAGAATGTGGGAACATAAAGGAAATCCATGCCTTCTGTGGCACTAGTAACAACATGCTAGAGAAATTGAAAGATATTTCATAGCAGTCTTGATGTTTAGCAACGATTCATACATCAAGAGTTCCTGACTGTCTGCCATGGCAGTTTTCTAAGGCATAAGAATGCTAAAGTGGCTGGAGGAGACATGTTGGCCATCTCTGAAGCAAGACGTCCAATCGTGGTGCTGAAATTTTGCAGAAACACTTCCTGTGGGGGTTGGTGGAAGTACTTACTGCAACAGGAGGCATGCCCCACAGCACTGTGGGAGAATTTAGGATTGTGCAACAGAAGAGGCACGTTCTCTATAATGCACATCAATATTTGCAGGATACAAAGACCTGGGAATTGTGGGGTTCTGTGGCCATAACCACAGAATGGTGTGTGTATATGTGGAGAGGGGATAGACCATTTTAACAGAGTGGATAGCCTGGGGATACTGAATGAGGGGACACTTGTGTGCTGAATGCATCTCACCCATTGTCACTTTAGGACATTTGGGTACAAAACAGAGCCTGAGGACGGTGGACACCAGGAGGCCGACTCATCAGGGAGCTCTATAAACACACCAAATAAGAAAGAGGGGAGACCAGATCTACCGCTTTTGTCTGCTGCATCCTACAGGCACAAAAGAGACTTTGGAATATTAAAACCTTCATTAAATTATTTTCATATTGGTGAGAATGCTTCTCTCTTATTGCACTGCTCCTCAGAGTTGGGTTGGCATTCAGTCCCAGGTGCCAAAAGTCTACAGCGCTCCTTTCCTTGATCTGATATAAATAGAATATTCATTCATTCCAAAGGCAGAGACACACATACACAAGGTTACTCATTGAAGGTAGGTTCTCTATCCAGGGTGCTCTTCCAAAAATGCAGAAAATGGCAGTGCCAAATGATTAAGAGCTTCTAGAACTATACTGCTTTGGATTAAGTTTAGGGAAAACATTGAGAGAGGAGAAACAACAGAAGTGCCTAAAATTCTGCAAGGAATGCAGACTCCTAGGGCCATGCCATTAAGTGACATAGTAGGTTTGGGTCAGAAATACTTCTCCCCAGAGCATATCTTTAGGTGTGATTTAGAAAAATACACTAAATAATATGCTCTGGATTTTGTAAACATTAAGTGAGGGCTTTGCAGGGGAGCAATGCAGTAAATGGTAGTGGAACCACAGCATGCTGGGAGGGAAGTTTTCAGGCTTCCTTCCACAGCAGTGACCTTAATGTAATTCCCACCACTACCAAACAACAGTTAGTATTAGGAAAAACCCTTCCTGTTGCAACCTATGGGAAACGTCCTCTTCCTGATAACAGCTAGGCAGTGAGAATGGTTCCACAAACAGTTAATTTTGAAAAAGCATTAAAAGTGATTGCTAATCAACTCCGCAGTGTGTGCACTTAGGCACTTCAACTATGGAATTTCCTACCACATGATGCCGTGACGACTCCCATCCTGGAGAATGAGGCACATTTCATGGAAAAGACCAGGATCCGCAAGTCAGGAGGGCTACACCATATGAACAACCAGCAGAAACAGAGTTGGCAAATAACATGGTTACTAGGAACAATGTTACCAAAAATATCTTTCTTTTTGGGAAAACTAAGAAGGCCACTATTGTGACAAAGTAACCTAAGAAGCTCTAAAGTTATCATTATTTATTTCCCCTAACAAGGAATGCTTCCTCCTCAACAGTTATTTTTCCAAGGGTAAAAATGTGGGCTTTTTTCCTCCTGTTTTCAAACTTTAGTTTTAGAAAATCACAACAAAAACCCACCCTACTGGTGCATCAAACTTAAAGTCAACAAGTAACTTTTGTAACAACCAATGCTTGCAGTGTTGCTTTTTGAAAAGAGTGATCCAAGCTCTGGAAAGAAGCATCTTGTCCGAGTACCAGCTTCTAGAGAATAGTGATGGGGAGGATACTGGTGACCTCACATCCATACCCTTCAGTATCTGGCTAGGAAACAGCATGCCAGACGAGATAAGCTTTGGGTAGGAACCACTATGGCTTTTCTTATGTTCCTAATCAGGAAGCACATGGCCTACAGGATATGGTTTCCAATGGGGATTCTCATCTTTATGCATCCCTATAGGGCTAATGGGATGTAAGTGTACTTCCATTCGGGTACTGAGAGTCAAGTGCACCTCCATATAATTCAGTGACGGGGACCTGTCTTAATTATTGGTTTAAAGAGGTTTCCTTACAAAGGCTGTTTCCTGGGCGATGATAGGAAGGAACATGGGATGGGGTGAGTGGGAAAAGTTCATTCCTCATGAACAGACAGTATGGACTTGTTTCTGTTCGGGGAACTGTATTTACAGGAGCTCAGAACCTGTTTACATACATGCTTTTTGGAAGTAACAAGCAATGGAGTCTAGCTACTGAGATTCTCTTTCCATAAGCCCTCAGCCAGCATAGCCACCATGATGGTTGGTGGATCTGGAAGTTATTGTCCAAAAACTCTGTAAATTAGTGGCACTGAGATATTTTTCAAAGCGAATGCTGGGTGTTTTTTTTTTTTTGTCTAAAAGAAACTCCCATATCCTATTATATATTTGATGTCATTTTGCTACATGAAATTCATTCATGTGAACTTAGTTAATGATTCCACAAGCACCAGCAAAACTTCAACAAAAAAGAGGAAAGTGTGAAGCTCAACAAAACTTGGCCCCCAGCTCTCAAAAATACAGCGTAAAAAGATCAATGAACTCTCCCCAGCCACAAGGACAGGGGATCACTACACACAAAAGACCAGCTAATGACACCCATCAACCACAGGAACAGATAATCTCTTCTCCTTAGCACAATAATACACCCACAACAATACACACTAATCACTCATCTACAGAAAAAGACAAAAGCCTATCTCACAGCCATAAATACTGCACTCCCAAGCCAACTACACCAGAGCACAGAGTGCTGTCCTCTGAAGATGCCGGCCACAGAGCTTGGTGAAACGTTAGGAAGAACAACCTTCAGAACACGGCCAAAGAGCCCAAAAGACCCACAACAACTATTGGATCCCGGCCGTGAAAGCCTTCACAAATATATTCCAAGATATGTTTTTAGTCCTGAAGTCAGCTTTTGAATATGTGAAATATGTTACAGGAATTATAATTCCTATGTTTGTCAGAGCCACAATGCTTTTCTTTAGAAATGCTCAGTATGCAGTTGTAAGTCAGATACATTGTACTTCCCTGAAATTTAAATAAACAGGCCCAAATTTGAAATTATTTCAAGACTGTGACTATGGTCCACAGAAATATGTAATAACTGCTGGTCATTACCAATATTATTAGTGCATGGCAGTAATGACCTTGTGCAGAAGAGCAAATCAACATTCTATAAGAAGGCAATTCTAAAAATGAAGGCAGCCCAAACAAACAAATAAACAAAATTAACTGTTAAACTCAGACCAGCACCACATCTGGCATCATTGTAGCAATCTGCTCTTACTCCATGCCAAATCTGGAGAAGTTTTTACAAGTAGGTTTTGAACTATGCTTAAAAAAAATAAAACTGTTTTCCTCTGCTGTTCAGAAACAGGCAATCCCAAACTACCCCAGATTTAAAATAGCTCATATAAATGAAAAAAACAATCCCAGCCTCACCCACTTTTCTTTAATTGAAATGAATTCAGGCTGCAGGGTTGAATTCACAAAGGGGGATCCTGTACACTATATTGACTACTGATATTGTTGTCCTCAACATTCTGGCCGCCCTTTCTTGTTCCTGCTGGCAACACAAACCTGATATTGCACAGCAATATCAGGCCATTTCCTGGCATTTTTAATCATGGATAGAGAAGCACAATATCCCACATTCATAAACTGGAGGTTTTAAGAGAACTGAATATAACATATTCATACATGATGATAATGATGATGAAACAGCCATAAAAGAATTAATATATGATTTTTAAAATAACCAACATCAATTTAATAGGAATTACTTAATTCCTACTAAAGAATAATGCCAGAATTAGTGCTAATGCTGTGATCATTGATCAGGAGATCAATTTGGATTATGCATATGTTTATATCTGTGTATGGTCATGTTAAGATGTGGGCTAAGGTTGTGGATTTTACATATTTAATTAAACACTCTCAGATTTCTGTCTTTTTTTAAAAAAGAAATTGATGGATGGATGGAAGGAACTACTTTTCATAAAGAAATGGTAACTGCCTAACCTATCGAAGGGTGATAGTCCTGCCTATCTCCAAACCGCAGTAGTTTTCCAAAGGGAAATCTCAATGCAGAAACCTACAGGCTGTGTTAATAAGGCACTAAGTGTAATTAATATACACTATGTAATTATGTCTCATCCACTGGGTTTTCATCATGTTCTGCACAGGCAGAAATGTCTTCAGCGTTAACTGTGGACACTGCATGCCCATTTTTCTAAGCTTTAGACCAGGCTTGTCCAACCTGCGGCCCAAGGGCCACATGCGGCCCAGGTCAGCTCGTAATGCGGCCCATTGCACTTTTTTATTTTAAAAGAAATTCCAAAGTTTCAAGTTACACTTCCGACGCTTGCGGCCGGAATGTGCCCAGGGCATGTCACAACAGTAGAGGGGGAGAGAGGGAGGGAAGGAAGGAGTGGGAGGGAAGGGGACAGGGGGTTTCATGACTGCATTGCGCTGTCCCCGTCAATAAGTGGACCCCCTCCCGGCCCCATAAACCTGCGGAGTCGAAGCTGGCAGCTTCTGCTGTCTGAGATCGCAGCTGCCGGTAAGCGCGCTTGGAGCAGGGCTGCAGAGGACGGCTAGGGCTGGCTCCCCATGCGGCCCAAACCAAATGTATGTGCGGCCCAAACCAAATTTTCATCTTCTAATGTGGCCCAGGGAAGGTTGGACACCCCTGCTTTAGACAAATAAAATAACCTGGGCCTTGTATCAATAAATTACTACTAATTGAAATATAAGTAAAACAATATTTCCACACATTTATGAGTGTGCAAATATTGTTACAGGGGCCTCACACTATCCCCTATCCTTATAGTGACTTGTTGCATTGTTACAAAAGATCGTCTACTACTCTATTCTCAGATTTCATTCCTTGTAGCCACAAAATTAGCTTGAACTGGGAAGGAAGAAGCCAAATATCCAGATCTCTCCCTAGCCATAGTCTGCCTCATAATCTTACACAAGGCATTCTTAACTTCAGTTCCCACTTAGCAATATGTGTGTGTGTGGGGGGGGATGGGTTATATGAAAACACTGGCTTCTCATACAGGAATGCTGTATTTTACTGGGATGATCTGTGTACCCAAGATCATGGCACAGTGGACCCAGGGCAGGCAGGATTGATGCATAAGGGCTTTGGGGTCAGCAGGAACAATGACTTTGACTGTGACACCCCTTTAGCTTCCCCAGCCCCTCTAGTTTACGAGCGGTCACTACTGTAGCTGAAAGAGAGGGTAAGGCCTTCCCCCCAACAATAATGCATTGTTAGGAGTGAGCCCTATTATAATGCAGCGATTTTTGTAAGGTTTAGTCTTCAATGGATAACGAATTCCCATTAGCTTTACAAAAGAACTGTTCCTGGTGGCGATGAAAACGAATAGAACCCATCTGGGACGGGAATCAAACCACACACACACACAAAAAGCAACTACAGTACTTCTTTGGACTTTCCTGGTGGTCTCGGTCATACCGCCTCAGGAGAAGGTTCCTGCACTTCAAAATTCACCAAGACTACTTCACTGATCAGAAAGCGCTATAAGAAAATACTAAACCTGTACTGACAACTGTTAGAGGATCACTCCTGTACAAACAACACGCAGTAATGCAAAAAAAAAAAAACATACATATGCTAAAAAAATTATGAAAACCAGATCAAAGGAATACGTCGCGACGTCATGTCCAAGTTTAGGGAGCGACTTTTCCTGCTCATTAGGAATCTACGTCCCAACGGCGTTAAAACCTACACGCCCTCCCGCCTTTGGGGGGCGCCTTTCGCTTCTGTAACTCAAATGCTACCTATACAGTACTAGGCCAATCTTCCGCGCGCCCAATCACGACCAAGGCGGGCCGCCAACCTGAGGCGTGTCTCCCGCGGTTATGCAAATACCCGACGTTCTATTGGAACGTAGCCAGGAGGGGCGGGCACAGGTTATGCTAATAATAGAACGATCCTTTTTTTTTTCTCTACCCGCCCAGTCGGTAGGCTGGCCGGAGGTGAAGAGGCGTGGTCTCCCCTATTCCGGTTTATTGCCTATGTATCCTTTTGATGCCTAGTCCAGATTCCTGGCCGCCATGTGCGCGCAAGGCAAACTGCGGTGCAGAGATTATGCAAAGTAGCGGCAGGCTGGTGGGCGGGGCTTGCGTGGAAGCCTGCAAATCGGAAGCAACGGGCGCCTTTCGCAAGACCGAGACGTGTGGGAAGGGAAGGCGTGATACCGGCATCTATTATGTTAATAAGGGCGGGTGGGCAGGGCCGAATTGTGAGCTCAGCTCTGGGAGGGGGCGGAAGGGAGGGAAGCCCGAGGGGGAGCTGCTAGCTGCAGCATCAGCAACGGCAGTTAGCCGGAGGAGGAAGGAGAAGGAGGAGGAGGAGGAAGATGATGCAGAGTTGCCTGGTCAGCAGCTGACCCCAGGGGGGGAGCCCGGCCATGACCTTCCTGGGGGGGCCTCGGCTCCTGGACTGGGCCAGCTCCCCCCCACACTTGCAATTCAACCGCTTCGTGCTGACGGGCTACCGGCCGATCAGCTCCGGGTCCGGCTGCCTCCGCAGCCTCTTCTACTTGCACAACGAACTGGGCAACATCTACACCCACGGTGAGCCGCTCGCCGCAGCCTCGCTCGACCCGGGCTCTCTCTCCCTCTTCTCATCCCACCCTTCATCCCTTTCCTTCCCCAACGCCTGCCGGGCTTGCGATGCCATGCTGCGTGCCCCCCCACGCCACCCCATCCCAGCGCTTCCAATCCTGCAGGGCCTTCCCCGTGATTGCACCGGCCCCGAGCCCACACGGTCCAGCCCGCCAGGAGACCCCCTGGCAGTGTAGCGGGCGCCAGTCGGCTCTCCCCGGCCCAAAAAAACCCTCGTCCTGAGATCCTGCACCCTTTTTTGCTCGCTCGTCCTGGCGCATTTCGGCTTGTCTGTTCATCATCACCGTATTTTTCGCCCTACACCGGCCCCAAAGCTCCGGTGGCCCGCCTCGCCCCCTTTCCAGGCCTGGATTCCTGTCCCCAGCAAAAGACTTCTAAGACCCCCAGGGTCCTGTTTCCCAAATCCGCGAAATGTCTGGGTTTCAGTTCTATGGCACACCGAGCTCTCCTCCCCTCCCCCCCATCCCTAAAATCTGGCACCTAACTGCACCTGTCCCGTGAAAGGATCCGCTTACTTTCTTTGCATCCTCCTTCTCCTCATTCGTGCCACAGCTCTATTGCAAGGCAGCTTTCTTGGGACAGCCGGGGAGGGGAGCGATTTGGGTCTCCCTTCCCTGTCTTTATCCGCGTGTCTCCGTCTATCCGTTTTCCTCTCTTCACTCGGATGCCTTAAACTGCAGTGCCTGTTCTTTCGCCTTTCCCAGGGCGCTTGTTGCTGAGGGGAAAGAGCCCTTTACCAGCAGACGGGTGGTGGTCAGGGGGTCATCCGGAGGAGGCAAAGAAGTGGCCTGTTTTTCTGGCCCAAGGTGATCCGGAGAGTTGGAGCAAAGTTGTGAAGCTAAGATGGGCAGTGGGAGCGTTGCTTCCTCTTGGCATTGATCAGGAAGGGTTTCCATGGTAGCCTTCATGTTGTATTTGGTGTGATTTTATGGCGGAGCAGCTGAGTTTATAGAAAGGAAGAGGCCAAAGTTCGGAGCCGGCACACACACTTGCCTGCTGGAAGCCTCAGATCTGGTCACTGGTAGCTCCAGTTTGTAGTTGGCTGTGTCTAGTTATATCTGACCTAGATCAGTCTCAGCAGGGCTTTCAAGATGGGTGAGATATTTGAGCAATTTTTTTTATCAGACCCATCCTCTCTCTCTGTGAGTTTCTGTAATTGAGCATGGATTCGAATTCAAGTCTTCAGTGTCCTAGTCTGTCACTCTGTCTACTACACTGTATTGGGTACCCCTGGCTCTAGTCAGAGAGAGCTAAACAGCCAAGAAGAAAACTGACCATGAGACCTTGGAGAGTTGGATGAAATAGGCCAATAATTATTTAAATATTGTATAGATGACCTTTATATCCTCAGTGTAGCTTATGCAGTTCTCCTCTTCCCTACTTTGTCTTCACAACAACCTTGTGAGGGAGGCCCCACTTAGGGAGTGTGACAGGCCCAAGGTCATCTATGATTTTTGTCTCAGATTGACCCATGTCTCTGTCATGACTGGATTTTGCACGGCTCAGTCTAATGCTCTAACCCCTAGATCACACTGGCCTTGGAGTGACCCATAATTTTATTGGTGCAAAAGCTGAATTCAGACAAACCGAAGAGAACTGAAGTATTGCATATGATTCTAATTCTTGTCTTTTTCACTGGTTTTTGTGCTGGGTTTTCAGTCCCTGGGGAAAAGTGAATGGGAACAGAGTTTTGTTGATGTTCTTTCTTAGAATTTCCCTTCATTCATCATTATGCTCGAGTACCCGTCTTGGCAAAAGGCACACTGCGTTTTTGTGACCATATGCCCAGCTGACTGTGCTAAAATAAAGTGCAAGGAATTAAGCTGGCAAGTTCTGCTTTGACCCGGGTGAGGGGGGGTTAGGAGTTTTATGTTTGTATGCCATCCTAACTTCCCCTTCCCCCTTTTATTGGAGTGGACTAAAGTGAAGCAATTCAAGTTTTTGCTCCCTTCTGGTAGTTTGTTATTGCCTAGTACAGCTTTATAAATTAGAGCGACTCAAACAATTGAAGAACAGAAATAAAGGCCCAGCACATTCCTCCACTGAACAGCTATGTGAAGGGACATTGGCTGCTTGGGGAATAGGTGGAAAGTGTGTGCCGAAAGAAATCTGAATTTGGTTAGTGTTTGGAGGGTGAGGCAGTTTGAGAATGGTGCAGGATGTTTTCCAAGGAAAAAATAAAGAAATAAAAGGGGAGCCTTTGTGGAATAGTACTGTAGTTAGTGTCTTGCCCAGGGACTTGAGAGGCCTACAGGTTCTAATCCTCATTAAGAAAGAGAAAAGTAAAAAAAATGTGCTGAATGAAGTAAAACTGGCAGTCGTTCCTAAAAGGCTGATGTATTTTGGTGTGGAAATACTCCTGCATAAGCAGAAACTTTTCTGAAATTCAGCCTTTCTTGGTGTACGTGGGGGGACCCTCTCTCTTGTACATATCCTTATTGAGAGGTTTTGGGCCGTAGGAAAGTTCTGCATGATTATTGTTAAATTTCTCAAAAAGTCTTGGCTCAAAGTGAAAGGTTCTTTGTCTTGAAACATATCAGCTCTTTATAAATAATGGTTAGGTTCATTTCATCATTAGGTGCTTTTTTTTTGTCCACCAATTTGGCCTTCTTCCCTCCTCAGGTTTGTTGTCATTTGAACCCTGAATCTCCTTGGATGATCATTGGCTGATTACTTACTCATGGATGGACCTGAGAGGGTTGTTGTGAGGAGAACCATTATTATTATTATTATATTTTTTTTCCTTTGGAGGGAGATTTTAGATTTAAGTGCACAGATAAATACCATCAGGATAACAAGATTGGTGAGATGTCCTTACTTTGGGAACGAGTAGCTGGTATATGTGGTTAATGCAACTTAACAACCATGGTTAATGATTCAATTAGGCAACTTAAGTCTGAATTTAATACTGTACTGTTAAGGGTGGCTTCCTTTCTGGTAGGTAATATCCCCTATATTTCTTCACTTATTTTGAAATAGGTGAAGAAACAGCCCTGTGGCACAGGGACTCATTCTGCTAATTGGGCCCTTGGCTTCTGCCCTGACGCCATCACTGCCCACAGATCTCCCGCCCTTCCTCTTTTTGCTTTATCCCTAGGACTGGAAATAAAAAAAGGAGAGTTGCTGAGCATCTGGCAGTTGACTGTTTTAGAGTAATAAATGAGAATGAATAAGCATGCATATATCACTCCCTGAGCGTTTAAGCATATCATGTTCATTACTCATTAATCTTTATTTCAGGCTTGTTGTTACTCCTGTATTACAAATAAAGGTGCCTTAAAACCTGCCAGGTGTATTCCTGGCTGAGGTGGAACTTCAATCCAGAACTTCCTAGGTCATGTCCGCACTACTATAGTGCACTAGCTGTTAAATTTGGAATGAGGTAGCAAAATATAAAGATTACTTCTTTTAGAGTTTAATCAAGGGCTACAGTGACAGCCCATGTCTTTTGTACTGGCCCACTTCCAGAACATTCTGAGGCTCTTTCCTGAATATCATAGATCTGAATATCATAGATCTATATCTATACTGTATATATATAGCCTTACCTTTTGTTAAAAAAATTTCTTTCATTTGCAGAACCATTTTTGGTGGTACTGCTGGGAGCTTTTGGCTCTTTTATTTGGGGAGCCATAAGGAAAGCCATGTAGCCAGGATTCTACGTTGATGCTAATTAATAAGTAATACAGTTAAATGCATTTTAGACCTGTTTACCTATCTGAGGGTTATGTTCTGGTGGTTTTCCAACAATCCACCAGCCCTAATCCTCTTCACTACAAAATTTCAGGCTACAGGCCTGATAGAGTCCCAGAACCTGTAGCTGAACGCTGAGATGTGTCTCCAGAATAGTTGATAAAATGGCAGCCACATCCCAGAGTATGGTCTGAGGGAAGTCAATGTGGCCATTTTGTTGAAGCTAAGCAGCTTTGGCAAGGTCAGTGCCTCAGTGAGAGATTGTCTGGGAACCTAGTATACACTGTCTTGCATTCTTTTAGGGAAGAAAGGAGGAATACAAGTGTATGAAATAAGAACAAAGAAAGACATATATATGTAATTATCAGTTACACTGATAAATACTCCCTTTCATCCAGCAAGGTGGTGTACATGGCTTTCTTCTGTCCTGCGAGGAAAGTCAGGCTAGGAAAGAGAGTTTGGTAGAAACTCACTCGGGTTCTGTGGATTGGTGGGGATTTGAATCTGGATTTATGAAATCCCAGTCTAGCAATCCAATACTGCCCTGGGTCCTTGAGCATGTGCAGAGTGCTTTTCTTGCAGCACTTAGCCTGCTCCATTTTTAATGTTGCCTCTTAAAGAAATTAAGTGTTGTTTCTCCACCCCAGCATCCCATGTGAAAAATAATAAGTGAACATATTTTTGCAACCCACAGATGGACTTGTCCGCTGTAGTAATATAGTGGGGAGTGAGACTAGTTGAGCAATAGAAGATGTTGCTGAGAGAATTCTGTGGGATTGCTTTATCCTCCGTGTTCTCTGGAGCTAATGGATGAACTGGTTTTCCATGCGTGGGCAGCGTTCACTCCCTTTTTTGCTCCTACCCGCTGTTCTTTCAGGTCAGGAACTTGGAGTGTTGCTTGATATTATTTGTCCTGAAAGGCAGAGATGAGCTAACTGTCAGCCAGAGCTCACACATCTCTCAGGGAGAGAGCTTAAAGCTATCACTAGGTGACAAGATCTGCTGAAACAGATTCTTTAAGAGCTGCAGTCCAAGTAGGGTATTTACTTTAGAGGCTGGAGATATTTCCCTTCTGGACTTCAACTCCCAACATCCACCAGCTAGATTCTAAGCGCTGTAACCTAAAGAACTAATTTTTCCCCAACTTCTGGTTTTCTTTGCTTCTGTGACAAGAAGGTAGGGCTGATTGTGCCTCACCAGATGTTGCTTGACTGCAGCTCCCACCAACAGCATAGCCAATGCTGTGGAACGATGGG